CTGGTAGCAGTCGGCTGAAGCTCAGTGAGGAGTGGTAAGCTCTCATTCTCGAAATGCCTGGTCGGCTGTGCTGTGGTGATCTCTTTCACCCCTGTGTCTTCCTTCTTGCAGCATCTCTCAGGCCCGCTAATCCCGTGGTGTTAGTTAGGACAGTTCACAGCAAGGTGAAGACTCCATTTGGGTAGGATTATGGAACTCAAAGGGTGAATTTTGCCTTTATCAGATAACAGCAGTTGATCTGACCACAGTGCTCAGGACTTATTAAAAATTCATTGGCTCTCTCGGCAGTGAGAAATCCTGATGACTCCTGCAGATGTTTTACGCTCTGGAAAAGTTCTGCTCACCTGTAATTCACAATCACACACGTTCCCAAATGATGCTGCTCTAACATTGTTGTGTGTTCCAGAAGCACAGATGTTCTCTAGCACCTTCTGCTTCCCTTGGCTTTTCTCCTGAACAACTTTCCGTCCTCAGCCTCCTGTCTGCAGAGGTGAAGAATTTCCTCTCTTCCCGGGTGCTTCTGTTAACACGTCGCTCTAGTGGTTTCTGAGTGGTGAGGGAAAAATCCAAAAGGAAGAACAGCTTTATCATATCCCAGACACTGAACATGAATGAAGCGCTGATAGGATCCGTTCAAACCAGACAGCCAAGTGGTGGGATGCCGCTCTCATACATAATGAACCCATTAATTACTCCTCCCGATGGACAGCGATGTTCCCTGGCAGGAAGAGGGAAGGGAGCAGAGGGGCGTGTGCTGTTCACTAGGTGCTCTCTGAGCAGCTTGTCACTGAGGAGGAATCCAGGGGAGGCTGTAGCTCTGGAGTGTGATCAGGTAGACCAGGCAAGAGTTATTTTGACAGACAGTTAGATGACGTATTTTGGAAGGAAGAAAAGAGAGCTTAGCTTAGCAAGAGGTAGCTGGAATGCAGTCCCCGGATGTCTTGCGAATGGCATCTCTCCTGCTGGAAACATGTCCTACCTTTGCCTTGCAGCATTGCAGAGGTTCTGTCCAGCTGTGTGTTCATTGTGTAGTTTTCTGAAAGAACTTTTCAGAGGTCTTAGATGGTAAGCATATACTGTGAGTAAAAAAAAAAAAAAACAACAACAAAAAAGACAGTGACAAGGAAAGGCTTTCCTTAATAAAAAACTCCCATGTTCTTATATATCTTTTGGGCACGTGTGTTTTTGTGTTGTAGTAAAGCATTACAAATCACTTGGTATAAAATGTATTGAATGGTCTTCTACCAGCTCTCTTTAAACTACATGAAATTCTGATCAGCTATATAAAGTATAGATATAAAAATGCCAGTATCATAATTTTTTCTACTTTAGTTGTTAAATCTGGCAAGGGCCTTTCACCCACTTCTCAGTGGAGCCCTTTTAGGACTATGACTCGCCACGAGGATGTTTTAATTGTTGAAAACTTCAAGCTTGAACAAAGGTGAAAGGAAACAGATAGATTCCCTATACACCCATTGCCCTGGTTCAATAACGCCCAGTTTTTTCCTCTTTATTGAAATACTTTAAAGGAAATTTCATTTATTTCTGCTTAACTGTATATAGTTTAAAACTACACAAGTCCTTTTCAGATGTTCTGTGTGGTCATCCACTAGCCACTCTACTCGAAATTCCTTGTTTCTCAGAAGCTTTCTCTTTTCCTAGGGTTTCTCAAGTGAGAATCCAAAGTGTACACTCATCCTTAGCTGTCAACATTAGAAACTTAAATCCTGAGATAACTGCATATGAGAAACAAGTAATTTTAATTTCATAATACCTTCCATGCTAATTTGTGTAGCATGAATATACAAGAGAAAATATCTCTGTTACTTTCTTGAACCCTTGTCTACTTAACACTGCTGCTATAATACTAAAAAGCATTATAATTTTGGAGGCATGGAGAGATGGCTCAGTGGTTAGGAGTATGTATTGCTCTTAAGAAGATCTGAACACCCATAATCCCAGTACCCATATTGGACAGGTTACAACTACCTGTAACTCCAACTGTGGGATCTGACACCTCTGCTTACCCCGTGCTCCTGTACTTGGGTCTCTGCACTCATGTACACATACCGCCTCCACACACATAAACATAATTAAGAAAATAGATCCTTTGAAAATTTGCTGTTGGATTGCTTCATTGCTTCCTGGGGATTTTCTGGAATGCAAGATCATGTCCCAATGTCTTGAAGTTATTTTAGGGGCTGGGCAAATGCAGTCAAATATAGTTGCTGCTGAGTAACACCACCTTGCTTGTTTTCTTACCAAACACAGTAGATGCTTCTGAAGTGAATACTCCAAAGTTTCACCATTGGTCTGGAACAGAGTTCTGTGAGGTAAAGACCTAGTCAGTAAGGCTATGGTGTTCATGAGGACCAGTGACTACGGCGCCACACATCTTTCTCATGCCTGCTGTTCTTCTCTGTGAGTTTTTCTTCCTACACTTGTGAACACCCAGCTCCTAATCAGACAGCGTTTGGTTGTCTGCTTAACTTTTCCAGGAGTGCAGGAGCATGAAGTTTGAGAAAGCTGTGTGCCGCTCCTCCTCTGCCGAAGTGTATTGTCATTCACACTCTCTTCTGTCTTCTCACTTCGCCTCCCTAGGTGGCTGGATGAATGAGAAATGAGAAGGTGACATATGGGGAACCATTAAAAGAACATGGACGGAAATTGTTTTTCTGTGCCCACCTGGGCTTACAGCCAATGCCAAGTGCTTCCAGCTATGGAATGCCCCTCTTGCAAGGTGTTCATAAATCATAGGTGGCACACTGCCAAGGTCCTCACTCTGTTGTTATGGTGTGAATGCTTAGTAACTCTGTGTAGCATTTTTACATGATCTCAATCATGCCTTGTCTCTTCTTAAATTAAGTTGTATGTGTTTATTACCTATACATGTGCCAGTCATTTATAGAAGGCCCAGGCAGTAGTACTATGACATACATACATACAAACAAACATACATACATACATACATACATACATACATGCATGCATGTGTGCACACACACTATATATAGTTAAAGCAGAAAGATGAGTCAAAATGCTGCTTTCGTCTTTCTAGGTGGTCTGTAATTATCCTTGTCATTTATAATGTACACTCGGCCTCAGGAAGGCGTTTTCCTATTGGGAAGTTTATGTGATTAATTGGTGAAAAGAGAGGCTGCACAGGGAGCAGGAATAGATTGCATGCTTTAGGTCTAAGTTCCTCCGCTATTTCAAATCATGATCTCCCAGTAGCCTGGCTATAAACTAAATTAGAAGCAAAACTGACTCATTTGGTGACCAAGATTGTTCCAAACCCAAAAGAGGCTGTCATCTTTTCACTTGGTGTGGGACCCTCGTCCGTGGAATAGAACCACTTACATTTAGGGTGGGTCTTCCTACACCAGTCAACCTAATTTAGATTATTCCTTGCATGCATGCTTGTTTCCATGGTGATTCTAAATCTTGTCAAGTTGGCTATTAAAGCATATCTAGTATTGATCTTGTTTATAGAATGCTACATTTACGTTCTCAGCTGTACATAGTTCTCTTCCCAACTAGGAAGATGTTGGGCTGTGGTATGGTCAAGACAATGGCTCCAGTGGCCAGCAGGCTCCCTTCATTCCTTACTGAGAGTGAGGGGTGTTTTTGATGCACCAGATTCCCATTATCATTTTAAATAGCAGCTCTTCTCCAGCATGACCAACATGCTATCAAATGAAACCTGAAGTTTCTCTGGGATCCCAGATGACACGTGGTGTTGAGAGGTGACCCTTTTTGAGAAGATGGTGCAAATTTAAAGAGAAGGGATGGTTTCTTCCTCTCATGTTTTGAATTTAAAAAGGAGTGTCACTTTTTTTTAACTTTCTGTTTCTTCATGATCTCCCAAAAAGCAGTGTATTTTAAAATGCCATACATGGATCACTGTTTTTTTTCACACGTGTATATGTGTGCACTCTTGTTGTATATTTGTGTTTGCTTGTGTGTGGCAGATGTGTGTATGGGTGCACATAAATTTGTATGAGCTACCAATGTTTCCCTTGCTAGTTCCTCACCTTACTCACCAAGGCAGGATCTATCAGTTGAACTCAGAGCTCGCCAGTATTGCTGGTATAGCTAGCCAGATCACTCTGGGAAATCCTTATTTCAAATGCTAGAAATACACCTACCACACATTGTGTGGGATCTGGGGATCCAAACTGTTCTTCATGAATGTTGGCAAGTGTTTTAACCATGAAGCCAGGCATTCAGTTAGCTAAATTTCATTGAAAATTTAAAAAGTGAGATTATAAGGAGATTTAATCCTTATAATAAAGTTGGCCAAAACAATTACATCCCTCCTATTGATCATATCTGAATAAACCAAGAGAGTATTTTCATCTTCAAACGTGGATTTCAGAAACACTTCTAAATTTCTTGAGGCATTCGTCTGTCGTTGCATCTCTAGTTTCTGGGCTTCAGACTTTGACTGTCTTTAACCTTTTTCTCCGGTGAACTGCAGTCAACCACTAGAGGTCTCCAGACCTCACTTCAGGAAGCTCTGATTTTACAGCCTAGCGCACAGAATGGATACCTCCAGGAGACATTGGTTACTAAGATTTATGAAGTATTCCTTTATGTTCCAGGTTCCCAGAACTTTACTGTGGCCTGATCATAGCTTTTAAAAAGGGTGGGGTCTCTGCCCTAATAGGGACAGATTCATAGGACCACATGTGACCCCAACCACAGCATGGACTTTGCATGCTAAGTGCCAGGTCCTTGAGATTTGCAGATTTGTCAGAGCTCCTAGAATACTCTCTAGATATTCATTCACAGTAAGGTCGCTCCTGGCCTCTGGTGCTGGGACCCTGCCCCTTTATTAGCCAGGAGCCGTTCTCTGTGCTAGGCTTCTTGAGTGGGCTCTGGCTTTTGTTTCTGTCAGCAGCTTTATGTATCTAATCTTCAGGGAATCTATTCACACATACACACACACCCCCTCTGTGACTAGGCCTCACAGAAGTTTGCTGTTTTATTCTAGAGAATTTTTGTTGTTGTTTGTGTCTTTGTCCCACTTGAACCTCTGGTTGCATAGAGTCTTTGAAATAGAAACATATCACAAGGTAGTGTGCCTCTCTTAGTGACCCATAAAAAGCACTGGGTGTAATGGCTGTCATGTATGAGGCAAATGCTTAATGGGCACCAGCAGTTGTCATTATCACAATGGAATGTAAAATACTATTACTTCTGGAAGGCACTGAAAAGAAAATGTAGCTCTTTCCCCCATTTCACACAGTAAATGCTGGAGCTCTGTCCTTTCTCAAGTGGGTGCATAACCTGTTCTCTTCAGTGCTACATATATTAGGAGGTCTTCAACTTGGTGCAGTTAGTATCAACTTAATCATCACACTCTTTCATAAGAATTTATTTATGGATAAATATTTTGAACTGGATTGTAATCAGTGGTTTCAAACAATTTCAAGGATGGCTTTAGAAGGCAGTCAGCAAAGTGATGATACAGAAAGCCTGGCAATTAGGTCATCTCTTATAACAGAGGTTCCATAGACAAATTGAAAAGTTATTGGTTAGTCATTTTTTAGATGATGGATCTATTTCTAAACATATACCACTGAACATATATCAAAAAGAATGAAATTCTGTCATTTGCGACAATATGGCTGGAACTAAGGTTATTATGTAAAATAAGTTACACGCAGACAACTTTATGTGACCTTACCTGTGAGGACTGGGGAGAGTAGGCAATGACAATAAGGTCTGTAGTGCTATTTCATGGTAGTGTAACTA